AAGGATAGTTATTTGAGAGTGTTTTAATTATAAATGTTTCTGAAGTGGTGCAGAGGAGAGGAATCCAAACCCCTAATCTGCTGTCCTAGAGAGAATTTGGATAGGGCAGAAGGCTCCCTCCACTCAGCTCTGCCATTACCAGCAGAAACTCCCCAAATGGGCAGTTTGGGGTGCAGGGATTAATGCAGAAATGGAACTTATGAATGCGCACATGTAATATTGACACAGACTGGAAATTGACTGATTTCTCCATGTTACTGTAGAGAGCAGAAGTATGGTAATTTTCAGCAGGGATCTTGTATTTCTCATAACATATAATTTCACCCCAACTTCCTTCAGATTGCACAGTGTGCCTGTCCATGGGAGGCAAAGCACAGACATTTTCTTAAATCAATATAGGGTCAGGTTTTTATGCTTGGCCTTCAAAAGTTTCAATAGATGTGATATTACAGTTAATTCATCACCTTTTTTTAAAAAAAAATGAATGGTACACTCTTATTGTGAATGTTGGCTGGTCGGAATTGGCCAATGTTAACTTTAATTCTTCCCAAATATCAAGTTACACTTATCCCACATGTATATAAAATTTCATCATGCATCATATGCTGATACAAGTTATTGCATTTGTGACAAATAATCTATATTCCCACTGAAACCTTCATTATTAATCATACTTGAGAAATGAAAACTGGAAACTATCCCCTAACTGGTTTAATCGATAAGACAGGGAAATATTAAGACACACCCATTCAGTGCAGTTTATATGCTAAATAACTGCTATGGTAAAATTCGGCTTCAAAAGCAATGGCCACAAAGTAACATGTCATAAGTAAAACTCAGCATTTGGGTACCTACATCAATCAGTATTTTAATTCCTGAACAGTGGAAATATAAAATCATTTACAACTTCTAAAATGATATATTAGAATGCTAAAGATCAACCCTAAAAATGCTGAGTATTTAAAGACAATTGCTGCATCCAAGTTAGGCAACATAAATTGTACTGGTCTGGTTAAAGCCAGCTGAGCCAGACCACCACCTGGGTAATGAAGAAAGATACTGCCTTTGTGTCCACTAAAGGTATAAAAGATGTTACTTTTGCAAGGACAGTATTGTGTTTTAGTACGTTTGAGCAAAGCACACTTCCCCCAAGACTACACATATGCAATAAAAATCAATGAGCAGAATATGCCATAGAGTTACTGGGAACATTCGTGGTGATTTTGCAAGTATCAGCCTTATTAAACATGCTTTTAAATAATTTTATATGAACCCTAGCTTAAAAAATGCAACAGAGACATTTAGCCACAAGTTAGTGTGCATTGAGCCATCATTTGTGAAGACCACATTAAGCATAAATAATGAAAACACATTTGTGGATTTATTTTTTCTGGAGTGCCTAGGAACAAGGATCCCCCCCCCCCCATGTGTAACAACTTTCATGTTATACATGTGCTGGTAAAATTGCTACAAAGGTGACAAACTCCCCACATTCATTCTGCAACTAGGGGCTTATAAGACTGCTTACCTATGTGATAAGTTAAACAAGAACATTTTTCAGATTGAGTCCAACATTTAAAAAAATCCAAAGTAGTCAAATGTGGCAAGCAAACCAAAATTGTGACATTTCAGCCACAAAATGTGAACTCTTCAACCACCACAACAAATCTCTTTAAAAAGAGTTCAGTGCTTTTCATTTCTTTTCAAAGCATTTAATGATATCCGTTAAAACTATGTCAGCTTTTATGACTAGAAATGAACTCATTAAACTATTTGTCGTGTTTAAATACAAGCCGACTTCACTTACCGGTCTCTCGTGTTCGAGGATAGAAGACTTCCCTGGCTCGTATTCAAAAATACTCCTTGGTTCTGAACGGAATTTGCGTGTGTCTACTTTTCTATCAGGAGGGTCCCACTCATTTCTAAGATAAAATAAAATTTGACAACTGAATTAAATTATCTTTCCCACCAAGCTCTATTCATATATAAAAAAAATGTATTGTGGGTACTGCAAGCCTACTTTCTCCATGTGCCATTTGTAAAATCACAATAAAACTGACACTAAAAGCAGAGATTTCATAGAAAGGAAAACCGTGTTTCGCAATAGCATAATTAGTGACATTATGGTATTTGAAAGTCAAGAGGCAATGCAGCAGTTTAGATTTTTTTTTTTAACCAGCTTTTATAAACATGAAAAATGTTATACAAACAAGTACACCAAGTTTCCTCATGTCGTTTGTGTATCACAAAAATAGCATAATAAATGTGGGAAAGTATCTACAACATATGTTTCATTATTAGTGGTTATTGTGTAAATTCTTGGTTTATGAATTGGTTTAAACAATTAGGAAGAAGAAGAAGAAAAAGAAAAAAGAGGGGGAGTGGCGAGTGGGGTGGAGTGGGGTGGTTATTCTACTTAGTGTGTGTGAGGGGTTGTGTCAGTGTTACTTGTATGGGTTCTCTTACTATTCACTTGCATTTCCTTGGTGGTAAGAGAGGTTGGGTGTGGCGTAGGGTGTGGTTGGTTGTCTTTGGCTGGCTGTAATGAGAATTGTTTTTGTGTGTGAGTGTGTATTTTTGAATCAGGCTAGCCAGATTGAAAAAGCAATGACAAACCCAGACAGCATCTTAAAAAGGACCATATAGTAAAAGCTATGTTTTTTCCAGTAGTGATGTATGGAAGTGAGAGCTGGACCATAAAGAAGGCTGATCACCGAAGAATTGATGCTTTTGAATTATGGTGCTGGAGAAGACTCTTGAGAGTCCCATGGACTGCAAGAAGATCAAACCTATCCATTCTTAAGGAAATCAGCCCTGAGTGCTCACTGGAAGGACAAATTGTGAAGCTGAGGCTCCAATACTTTGGCCACCTCATGAGAAGAGAAGACTCCCTGGAAAAGACCCTGATGTTGAGAAAGATGGAAGGCACAAGGAGAAGGGGATGACAGAGGACGAGATGGTTGACCAAACTGCGGGAGGCAGTGGAAGACAGGAGTGCCTGGCGTGCTCTGGTCCATGGGGTCACGAAGAGTTGGACACGACTAAACAACTAAACAACAACAAAGCCAGATTGATTCGTATGCGGTCGGGGGATTCTTGTTGTCTTGTTGGGCTGTGTATGTGATAAAGGGGAGCCATACCAAGGTGAAGGCGTCGTCTTCTATTTGTCCCTGTGTGAGTTTAAGTATATTGGTTAGTTTTTCCAATAAGGCTGCTTCCCATACTATTTGATACCCTTGGTCCATGCTTACTCCTGACAGGTCTCTCCAGTGTCTGGTTATGATGTTTCTGGCTACTGAGAGTAGGTGGGTTATGAGCTCTTTGTGGTGTGAGTGGAGCAGTTTAGATTGTTAAGTTATTTATGGTGAAGCAAGGCACACTGTGTAAAAGCATTTGCAGCAAGTATAAAAATACTTCTTATGTGCTTTACACATTAAAAGAGCCTGAAATAATGCCTCTCACATTATGCCTCATGGAATTTGCTGCTTCTAGATTGACTGCTACAAAATGGCTGCAAGGCTTACTTCTCTGGTGCAGATCGTTGCCGTGGGCGAATTGGTGGTGCTGGGGGTGGTGGAGGTACAGGGGACGAGACCTTAAAGGCCTCCGTGCCATTGTCAGAAGTACTTTTCGTCAGCGGTCTGTATGTCTGTGTTCTTGCAGCAGGGTGTGCTTGAGCAGAAAAGGATGGGCTGAAGTTACCTAATAAAATGACAAAACAGAAAAAAGCCAAAATATAACTATTAAGATCACTTGATATGATACATATATGCCACATTCAATTACAGTGGTGCCTCGCAAGTTTAATTCGTTCCGCAAGTTTTTTCTTCTTGCGAGTTTTTCGTCTTGCGAAGCACGGTTTCCCATAGGAATGCATTGAAAATCAATTAATGCGTTCCTAGGGAAACCGCCTTCAGACCAGGTCCGGGGACAGTCTGTCCCCCGACCTCTTCTGAAGGCTGGGGGGGGGGGAACAAGGGCTTCTGAAGGCTGGGGGGGCTGGGGGGGAACAAGGGCTTCGCTGCCGACCCCCAGCATTTTAAAATCTCACCGGGACACGGGGAGATTTTAAAATGCTGGGGGTCAGCAGCGAACGCTTCGCTGATCCCGGGATGGCAGGCAGATCTGCACCGCCATCCAGAGCGGGGCGGGACTTAGCCCCGCTCGGGATGGCAGTCCCGGGACGGCAGACAGCTCTGCGCCGGCATCCAGAGCGGGGCGGGACTTAGCTCCCCGCTCGGGATGGCGGCACAGATCTGCCTGCAGTCCCGGGACGGCAGACAGCTCTGCGCTGGCATCCAGAGCGGGGCGGGACTTAGCGCCCCGCTCGGGATGGCGGCACAGATCTGCCTGCAGTCCCGGGACTGCAGGCAGCTTTGCGCGGCCATCTGTAGCGGGGCGGGCTTCGCCCCCGGCTCCCGATGGCCACGCAGAGCTGCGCTGATCCCGGGATGGCAGACAGCTCTGCGCCGCCATCCCGAGCGGGGCGGGACTTCTCTGCTGTCCCGGGGAGATTTTAAAATGCTGGGGGTCAGCAGCGAACGCTTCGCTCCCGCCCGCCAGCATTTTAAGATCGCCCGGGGCAGCGGAGAAGTCTCCGCTGTCCCGGGAAGGCAGGCGGGGGGGAGCAAAGACTTTTGCCCCCCGCCGGCCTTCAGAAGAGGTCCAGGACCTCTTCTGAAGGCCGGCTGTGGGCGAAAGTCTTTGCTCCCGACCGCCAGCAATTTAAAACAGGTCCCCGGAGATTTCCCTATGGGCTTTCGTCTTGCGAAGCAAGCCCATAGGGAAATTCATCTTGCGAAGCGCCTCCGAAACAGAAAACCCTTTCGTCTTGCGGGTTTTCCGTCTTGCGAGGCATTCGTCTTGCGGGGTACCACTGTATGGGTTTTAAAAAATTAATGTGAATTTAATGGTAGTTCTTCTTGGCTTATATCCTCAGTTCCATGAATGGAATAGAGTTTACAGAATGGAATTTTCCTGCTTCTTCTTTTCCTCTGCAGCAACCTGTACCCCTAAACATCGGCTCCTAGAGACTGGGGCATCCTCTAGAACAGACTAGCATGTGGCGTGGAAGGCTGCAGCAAGAAGGGCAGATTTCCAAAGACCAGGGCTCCCAGGATGAGAACAAAAGAGTCATCCACTTGTACGCCGTCACCTTGGATTCCACATCATATACCCAACACAGAGGATACTTGTGGACCTATCTTTGAGAAGAAGGGTATGTAACGACAAACATTTCAGTCCCTAAACACATTTATTGGAAGTAAAGCCCACTAAATTCAACAACTGGTCTTGACTGGAGTGGGCAGACTTCAGGCTTGAGGGATCTACTTTGATTTTTACTAGAACCCTGAGCTCTATCAACTGGAGCCAGGTTCAAAAGAGTAGATCAAGTTGAGGCAAACAACATACTCCTAAAAGTTAATAAAAAGGGTGCCTCTAGGCAATTGTTCAATTTAAATAAAGTGTTTTTGGTACCAGAAGCCCCATATTGATTCATGGTAAGCATGGCTTGCAAAACTTGTAAACCATAAAGTGAAATGCAGCACACCACCTGGGTATAGGGCCGTATCAATGGCTTGACAGGACCCCTATTTCTGCAGTCCAAAGCAAGTGGTTTATCACGCCCTAGGTGGACTTGATACATGGATAAAGGGTTCTGTTCACATTTCTCTAAAATCTGGAAATGCCTTGAGGCACAGCCATAGTTGGGATAATTTACTGCTGGCTGCCATTGTTATCTTGGTGGTTGCTTGCTAGCAGAAAACTGAAAAAGAAATACACACATGCTTGAATTTAAGCCTGCCTTTGTTAATTTTGTAACAATGCATTTCTGGTTAGTAATATAATATTTATCAGCATTAGTTCTGGACAGTCACCCAAGCAGATCACATAGATGTAATTTTTTCGCAAGTGAAGACTGAATCTATGCGGATTGTAATGTGAACTTGTGCAGACAGTTTTAATGGAATGCACAGTGTGGAAGCTTGAGTTTTGGATTCATGTTTTGTCCCATGGTAAAGGGGATGATCTAGTGAAAATTCAATGAAACAGAGCGCCAAACTACATATTACACTTAATGAAGAGCATGCAGATACAGTTCTGGATTTATTTTAATTAATTACAGATGCAGGGGGCTTTTCCTATGCTTCCTGGCTACATGGCCAGAAAGCAGGCAATTTTTGTCCCAAATGTGACAATGTGTTGTTATATAACAATTGCCCAAATAGCAATTGCCCACCTGCTGTATAGTTTAGCCCTGAGCAGAATTTATTTATTTCAGTGTTAACTCTCTCATATTAAAATTAATGAGACACAAAAATATATGACTTTGGATTGTTCCCATGTTTTATGCATACAATGCAGTATTCTACTCAGCTACTACCTTTATCATCCCTAATGCATGTTGATGGAGGTTATGCTAGGAATCAAGCTCTGCTTTGAAATTGTTCCCAAAGCCAGAATCTGTCCAAATTAGTACAAAATCAAAGCACTGGAAGGTCACCATTGAAAATACATTTTGGGTTATTTGGCTGGAAAAAGAATTCACACACAATCATTCAGGTGTCAGGAAAATAACGAAATGACAACAATACACTGAGATCCCACAACACAACAATAAAAACTGCAGTTACACAAGCACAAGAAGGATGGGCCTACAAGGTTAGGTAATCGTCAGAATTAACGAGAACAGACTCATGAAGGGAAGGAATAATTCCTACCAGTATTATATGCATAGGCAGTATTATACATGTCTGTGTCATCATCTACAAAAAGAAAGATAAATGTTATAGTGGTGCAACACTGGTCCGCTTAGAACAGCAAGGCAGCTCTACCATCCCAAATACTGTAAAACAAACAAACAAACAAACAAACAAACAAACAAGCAAATTGTAGCCAGCTTTATACTTCAGGAGTCTATCTCATATGCTACCAATCCTGGATCGCATACAGCTGTTCTGTCACTTGAGATGCAAATACAGCAATATGCTCTATCCCTGAGCTATGGCCCTTCCAGTTAGGTATGGAATATTTAGCTGATTCGTTAGTTAAAGGTAAAGGTAAAGGTACCCCTGCCCGTACGGGCCAGTCTTGCCAGACTCTAGGGTTGTGCGCCCATCTCACTCAAGAGGCCGGGGGCCAGCGCTGTCCGGAGACACTTCCGGGTCACGTGGCCAGCGTGACATCGCTGCTCTGGTGAGCCAGAGCTGCACACGGAAACGCCGTTTACCTTCCCGCTAGTAAGCGGTCCCTATTTATCTACTTGCACCCGAGGGTGCTTTCGAACTGCTAGGTTGGCAGGCGCTGGGACCGAGCAACGGGAGCGCACCCCGCCGCGGGGATTCGAACCGCCGACCTTTCGATCGGCAAGCCCTAGGCGCTGAGGCTTTTACCCACAGCGCCACCCGCGTCCCGATTCGTTAGTTAATCTACAATAAATATTTAATCAACTTAAATATGGCCCTGATTAATTGGCAGTGGGGGTTTTATGTTAATTATCTTTAAAACAGGAATTTAAAAATGCAACAGGTGGCAGCATCACCTTTCACACACATCCAGAAAGGCTTTTTTGAAGATGGTGCCATTGTAATGTATATGTAGATTAAGAAGGCAGTCCTGACCTCCTGATATTGCCTGTTTGCAGAGGGGGTGTAATTGGGAAAAGGCATAGGTATCTGTCCTTTGCTAGTGGAGATGGATAGACTGAGATTGTGGAGGCTCCCTACTGTACCCTCAGAAAGCTTGGTGGATAGAAAGCTACCCCCGTTTGATATTCTTGATTTTGATAGCAAACCTATGGCCCCAAAGTGTGGAGCATTATGACAATAGAACAAAATCAACTATAGATCTACTGGATTCAAGGATGTTTTGTTTCCGTGTGAGGGACTGAATTTAGGCTCTTCATCTATGCTAACCTGGAGCAGATGAAGCTAATTTCTCCAGTGCTTTTGGTGATGGTGGGGAGGGTGTAGATACAAAATATAGTGATCCACTGCGCTGAAAAGCCCAGCAAAAGTGCTCCCCTCAGCTTCCATTTTGGCTGCCACGTCCATCTTTTAGCTCCCTCTCCCCTTTGCTCCTCCAGGATTGCTTGGTTAATCAATAAATTAACTGTTATTTGATCAATATCCTGCTTAGCCATGAAACTCACTTCATAACCCTGGACCAGTCACTGTCTTTTATTCTTGGATTAAACATTATTCTCAGTACTTACTACGCAAAGCGACTCCTTTTACAATAACTAAACCATAGCTTGTGGATATGAGGAGAACCAAATGACTCCATACCTAGGCTAGGATCATTTTGTCATTAACTTTGTTGAATTTATAAAAGGAAGAAAAAAAAGAAGAGCTCTTTATTTGATTTGTTGCCTTGGCAGGATTACAGCAATGAAATTTTTCCCAAGCTAATTCTAAGGGATGAACACAAAACCCTGAGCTACTTTGTTTCCCTAACACACTCATTGTAGCCTCTCTTATTTTTCCGTACTTCTTAAAAATGTTAATTTCTGTTGGAGAATTCCTTAAGTTTCCCCCACAGAAAAATGCACCAGCTGTATTGAATATACTTATTTGGCTTGAAGTGCCTACTGGACCTTGGTATTTTATTATTGAATGACCACTGGCATATATTATTATCTGACAGCAAAACAGCAAGATGTATGAAAATACAACAAGGAGAGGAAGTTGGACATACCAGGCTTGTGAACCATGTGTATTTGCTTGAACATCGTCTTATACCAGTCTTTCGGCCTGTCAACTGTCTAAAAATGACAAAGTTTAAACAATTAGCAAGAAAACAACAACAAAGATTAAATTGGTTATACAATAGTTTGAATTAATGTACAATAGAGGTAACTAGGAGGGTCGTTTACTCCTTTGACGGGTCCTCATACTTAGCTGATGGGTGTATTAATAATACAAAAATAATAATGTGATTTTAAAAATCACCTTATTTGCAGAAAAGAACCTCAAAAGCAAGGAACGAACAATAATAAAATCTCAATTCAATATGTAAACCTATTAAATAATCATTAAACTGCTCCAGAGTTGATAATGACCAGGTGGGGATTCGCCTTCTCTGCATGCCTACTGGAATAAAAATCTCTCCAATAGGCACCAAAATCTCAAAAGTACTTGTCTGTTAGCCACCTGAAGGGAGTTCCATACTAAAAGTCCAGGCCCATGTCACCACACTGGGGACATGACTCCATAAGACATGCTTCTCCTGGTAACTGCAATGACTGCACCAGCATATAGGGAGCAAGACCAACTCTCAGGTTGTGTTTGGCTTAATAGGTCATAGATGATATAGCTCTGTCTTTTGCAGTACTATTTAATGTCTCCTTCATTAGGAATGTTCGGATTTGATTGATATCTCAGTACTTCAAGGCACTGGATTGGATAACCTTCAGAACTGCTCCAAAGAAATAATTCTGTGGAAAATAATGGACTAGAAAACTAGGGATGGAATGAGCATTTGAAGCTGGGTTGCTTGAATATTCAAATGAGTGGGAGCTTAACATAGCCAACCTTGAGCTGAGTCCAGGATAACCTCTAAACTGTGCACCTGGTGGGAGTACAATCCTATCCAGCATTAGCCATATAGCTCTATCCAGATCAGCAGATTTACAGGACTTACAGGACCTTTATGTTCAACTCATTTGCCTTCATTCATCCCCAAACTGACTCCAAACCTCTGTTCAGGATTTCTACAGACTCCCTACAATGAGAGGTCATCAGCATACCAACGACATCTTAACTCTAACCTCCATATGATTTCTCCCCAGGGCTTCATGTCAGTGTGGGACAGAATGGAATCCTGTGGCATCTCGCAGGCCAAAGGCCATAGAGTGAAGTCCCCCAGTACTGCTTTTTGTGCTCATCCCTTTGGAAAGGACCGGCACTACCATAGCACTGCATCCTCGGGTCTCACTCTGGCCAGATGACCCGAGGAAGAGACTATGGTTGATGACGACGATGACTGCCAAGAGGTCCAGTAGGACTAGCAGAGTTACATTTTCCCTTTGGCAGAAATGTAAACAAGGTTGGAAAGGATCCAAATACAGTGGTACCTCGAGTTACATACGCTTCAGGTTACAGACTCCGCTAACCCAGAAATAGTGCTTCAGGTTAAGAACTTTGCTTCAGGATAAGAACAGAAAAAGTGCTCCGGCAGCACGGCGGCAGCAGGAGGCCCCATTAGCTAAAGTGGTGC